GGGGGCGCGGCTTGGAGACAGCGGGTTTCTACGGAGGGGGGCGTGGTTTGGAGGGAAGGGGGCGTGGCTTAAGCTGGGAGGACCGGCCATAGAGAGGAGCGGGGTAGAGCGTCCCCCGCCCCGGCTCCGCGCTACTTCCGGTACCGACCATAGAGTTCCGGGAGCGGCGGCGGCCGGAGGGGCCCGGGGGGCGATGACGTCAGCGTCGACGAAGGTAGCGGGGGGTTTTTGGGGTGAATTCGGGGGATTTGGGGGCATTTCCGGGAACGGTTGGGCCCCCCCGAAGGAGGGGGGAGGGGGAGGAGCCGGTTGGAGGCCCAGAGCGGCCGGTTCCGGCCCAGTTCGGGTCTTACTGGGACCAGTTTGGGCCTTGGGGGGGGGGACTGGTCCCAGTTTGGGGCCCAGTCCCTCCCAGTCCCTCCCAGTCCCATACTGGTCCCAGTGCTGTTTCCAGTCCCTCCCAGTGCCATTCCCAGTTCCATACTGGTCCCAGCACCGTTCCCAGTCCGTCCCAGTGCTGTTCCCAGTCCCTCCCAGTCCTATACTGGTCCCATACTGGTCCCATACTGGTCCCAGTGTCCCTCCCAGTCCCTCCCAGTCCTTCCCAGTGCAGTTCCCAATCTCTTACTGGTGCGATACTGGTCCCAGCGCCGGTTCCAGTCCCTCCCAGTCCCATACTGGTCCCAGCACCATTCCCAGTTCTCCTATACTGGTCCCATACTGGTCCCATACTGGTCCCAGTGTCCCTCCCAGTCCCTCCCAGTCCTTCCCAGTGCAGTTCCCAATCTCTTACTGGTGCGATACTGGTCCCAGCGCCGGTTCCAGTCCCTCCCAGTCCCATACTGGTCCCAGCACCATTCCCAGTTCCTCCCAGTGCTGTTCCCAGTCCCATACTGGTCCCAGTGCCCCTCCCAGTCCCTCCCAGTCCCTTCCAGTGCCGTTCCCAGTCCCCTATTGGTCCCATACTGGTCCCAGTGCCCCTCCCAGTCCCTCCCAGTGCTGCTCCAGTCCCTCCTAGTGCCATTCCCAGTCCCATACTGGTCCCAGTCCCCTCCCAGTGCCGTTCCCAGTCCCCTATTGGTCCCATACTGGTCCCATACTGGTCTCAGCACCCCTACCAGTCCCTCCCAGAGCCTTACTGGTCCCAGTCCCTCCCAGTGCCGTTCCCACTCCCATACTGGTCCCAGTGCCACTCCCAGTCCCCCCCATACTGGTCTCAGTGTGGATCCCAGTGTCGTTCCCAGTCTCATACTGGTCCCATACTGGTCCCAGTGCTGTTCCCAGTCCCTCCCAGTTCCATACTGGTCCCAGTGCTGCTCCCAGTCCCTCCCATACTGGTCCCAGCGTGGATCCCAGTGCCATCCTAGTCCCATACTGGTCCCAGCACCCATCCCAGCACCCCTCCCAGTCCCTCCCAGTGCCATTCCTGGTCCCATACTGGTCCCAGTTTCTCCCAGTCCCATACTGGTCCCTGTGCTGCTCCCAGTCCCTCCCAGTGCCGTTCCCAGTCCCTCCCAGTCTCATACTGGTCCCAGTGCCGTTCCCAGTCCCCTATTGGTCCCGTCCTCGTCTCAGTGCTGCTTCCAGTCCCTCCCAGTTCCTCCCAGTCCCATACTGGTCCCTGTGCTGCTCCCAGTCCCTCCCAGTGCCGTTCCCAGTCCCTCCCAGTCTCATACTGGTCCCAGTGCCGTTCCCAGTCCCCTATTGGTCCCGTACTCGTCTCAGTGCTGCTTCCAGTCCCTCCCAGTCTCATACTGGTCCCAGAGTGGCTCCCAGTGCCATTCCCAGCACCGTTCCCAGTGCCTCCCAGTGCCATTCCCAGTCCCATACTGGTCCCAGCGCCCCTCCCAGTGCCTCCCAGTGCCATTCCCAGTCCCATACTGGTCCCAGCACCGCTTCCAGTCCCTCCCAGTGCTGCTCCCAGTCCCATACTGGTCCCACACTGGTCCCAGCGCCCCTCCCAGCCCCTCCCAGTCCCTCCCAGTCGCATACTGGTCCCTCCCAGTCCCTCCCAGTCCCATACTGGTCCCTCCCAGTCCCTCCCAGTGCCGTTCCCAGTCCCATACTGGTCCCATGCTGGTCCCAGTCCCTCCCAGTCCCATACTGGTCCCATATTGGTCCCAGCGTCCGTCCCAGTGCTGTTCCCAGTCCCTCCCAGTGCCTGTTCCCAGTCCCATACTGGTCCCAGCGCCCCTCCCAGTCCCTCCCAGTCCCATACTGGTCCCATACTGGGCCCAACGCTGTTCCCAGTCCCTCCCAGTCCCTCCCATTGCTGTTCCCAGTCCCATACTGGTCCCAGCGCCCCTCCCAGTCCCTCCCAGTCCCTCCCAGTGCCATTCCCAGTCCTTCCCAGTCCCTCCCAGTGCCGCTCCCAATCCCATACTGATCCCATACTGGTCCCAGCATTGCTTCCAGTCCCTCCCAGTCCCTCCCAGTGCCATTCCCAGTCCCATACTGGTCCCAGCGTGCGTCCCAGTGCCGTTCCCAGTCCCATACTGGTCCCATACTGGTCCCATACTGGTCCCAGCGCCACTCCCAGTCCATCCCAGTGCTGTTCCCAGCCCCTCCCAGTCCTTCCCAGTGCCATTTCCAGTCTCATACTGGTCCCATACTGGTCCCAGCACCACTTCCAGTCCCTCCCAGTCCTTCCCAGTGCTGTTCCCAGTCCTATACTGGTCCCATACTGGTCCCAGTGCCGTTCCCAGTCCCTCCCAGTGCCCCTCCCAGTCTCCCCCAGTCCCTCCCAGTGCCATTCCCAGTCCCATACTGGTCCCAGCGCCCCTCCCAGTCCCTCCCAGTCCCTCCCAGCACTGTTCCCAGTCCCATACTGGTCCCAGTCCCTCCCAGTGCCGTTCCCAGTCCCATACTGGTCCCATACTGGTCCCATACTGGTCCCAGCGCTGCTTCCAGTCCCTCCCAGTCCCTCCCAGTGCCACTCCCAGTGCTGTTCCCAGTCCCATACTGGTCCCAGCATTGCTTCCATTCCCTCCCAGTCCTTCCCAGTGCTGTTCCCAGTCCTATACTGGTCCCATACTGGTCCCAGTGCCGTTCCCAGTCCCTCCCAGTGCCCCTCCCAGTCTCCCCCAGTCCCTCCCAGTGCCATTCCCAGTCCCATACTGGTCCCAGCGCCCCTCCCAGTCCCTCCCAGTCCCATACTGGTCCCATACTGGGCCCAACGCTGTTCCCAGTCCCTCCCAGTCCCTCCCATTGCTGTTCCCAGTCCCATACTGGTCCCAGCGCCCCTCCCAGTCCCTCCCAGTGCCATTCCCAGTCCCATACTGGTCCCAGCGCCCCTCCCAGT